GTCTCCTATTTTGGAACTATATTTGCAGAACTGCCATCAAGTTAAGGAATTAATTTTTAAATTATATAGATGTAAGCTTGTTTGCAGTCAGAACTCAGAACTTTTTTCCTAGCAGAAATAAAAATCATATGACCAGAATCATAGATCAACTTCATCCTCTTCACACAGTTCAGACTTGCATTTCACAACATTGTCTCCAAAGACAACCATCACACTTACACAGAAAAAACAGCTAAAACACTGAGGCAGCTGGTCAGAACTAGGTAACTTTAGAGAAAAAAAATAATCTAAAAAGTTGATTTTCCACTGCTGCTTCAGGTAGGACTCTACACAAGTTGAGGAAAGATGGAGACTACTGCTGTAGATGCTACTGCATTACTCATTTGCACAGTATAAACTAAATTAAACTCTGATGTTATTTTCTGTTAGTTTAACAGTAGAAATAGATGTATTAAGAGGGCATTCTGCACTGATATGGAAGCAATAAGACCAATATGGCTGCACACCCTTCTCTCTTGAATATGCTATTCTTGCTATTTTTAGCACTTTTAAAACACAGTGTATGCTGACATAATTTACTCTTTTTTTCACAGCAGGCTAGGGTCATCTGGAACACCACACATTTCCACTGCAGACTTGAAGACAAAGGCTACTGAAACAGGGAAGGGAAAGTACAAAGGCACACAGAAGAAAACTCCTAAGTTCCATAGCTTTTAAATCAAGGATCTGTTTTTGGATATTCCTCGTATTTTAAATGGGAGTGTTCTTCTGTGTATAGATGCAAATCCACCCTGGCACCTAAACTCCACACAACTGATTTTCCCCCACTAAACAGACTGTCATTACAGCCACAGTTGTGCAACTTGGCCTGGGAAGCAGACAGTGGTGTGTGCACACATGGGACTGTGTGTCTGTACGTCTTTACCTATCTGCATGTAGAGTGTGGCCATGCACAGGTAGCTTATGTGAGGCAGCCATGCATTACCTATAGCTGTCTCTGTCAATGCCTCCTCCCCTATCTGCCCAATTGAACCAAGCACTAGAGCCAGAAATAATTGTCACATGAAGCTGTTGACACACTTCCTGCTCTTGTAAAGCCAAAAAGGGATGAAGTTCTGTGGGGTCTGCATGTCTTAACATGCCCAGCGATGTATGCTGTTTCCAAAATGATAAAATTCTGTAGTATGTCCTTGGTTAAGCTCTGCAATACTGAACTTCTGAGGCAGACATTGACACCCCATTTTAATTGTATGCCTTGGCACATGGAGGACGAATAACCCTTTTCCTCCAGTCAAACAATCCATATCATGAGTTGTGAACCAGACAACACTCACACAGCAATTTCACATGTTGAAAAATATTAAACTAAGCTTAGCTGTTGGAAATGTCAACAGCAGGAGCTCACCACCACACCCCAAACATAAGCTTCACTACAACAAGTTCCACTGCTCAGTAACTATACATAAAACTCCCTCTCATTCTCCTGCTACATTAAAGCTTTTCAGGTTTTGGAAGAGGCAAATGAGGAAAACCCTCCTCATATCCTCTTCACTGTCAGCTGCACATTCTTCGCCCTTCCTTCTGCATTTGACATTCAAGTAGTAAACTGCAGCAGATCCAAGCTGCCCTGCAGGTAATTGTGTGAGTTCCAGAACATCATGCCAACTTCATGCAAACAAAATTCTTTAAAGCCATGAAGATGTTCCTTCCTGCCCCCTCCCAGTTGCATATGCTTGTTTTTCAACACTTGGCAACAAAAGGAACTTACTAGATCACAAAGAATTAAATTTTTTGTTGTTGCTTTCCTTTTCAGCTTCCTTAATTAGGACTTGAGTATTTGGAAAGTAAAAGGAAAGAAATGCACTGTGGTACAGAGCTATCAATATTAACAAACAAGTCACATTTCCAGCTTTTAAAAATATTCTGTTTGAAGCTAAATCAGCATATCTAAAACTGACCTATTTGGAGTAAGTATGTCACAAAGTTTGATATTTAGGTCAGTATTTTTTTCAATAACTTCAGTCTGTTCTGAAAACAAGAGTTCTGTTCACCTCAGGACACTCACATACAGGAAAACCAATCCTAACACCTATTCACAAACCTCTTCCAAAAATTTGCTGGGGCAGAGAATGAGAGCTGTCTTGTCTGAGACAGATTTGACTGTTAGAAATAATCAGATTATGCAGGAGTGATGCTCATTTTTAATTAAATGGTCTCTGCAAACATAGATTCAAAACTTCTCTATCATACAAATATTTATTGCAGGAGTCATTTGTCTTTTTCTGGAAAACCACTAAAAAGTCAACATTGCCAGTATTCTGTGGGGAGAAAGACTGCAGAGCAAGCATTCCTTGCAAAGTCTCCTTTCAAGATTAAGCTTGTTATTTAAAAGTTAAAATAACATCATCATCTAGCTCTTACGAAGTATAAAGAAGACAGATGCTCTTCCGAAGTAAAAAGAAGACAGATGTGAAATCTTTTTTCATAGTTAAAATCTGAATTGAGTGATTTTAATGAAATTTTTTACCAAGGATGTCCTTGTGCATTAAAATTTATAATTGTCCTGGTTTGAGCCAGGATAAAGCTGTCACAACACTTGCAAAGTATCAGAAGCCTCAGTTTCCAGCAGCATATAACAGAAGACCACAAAGGACTGCAGAAAAACTACCACTGAACTTAGCACAAATGCAGGTTTTAAACCAAATGCCGAGAACTATAATCTGTATTTAAAATATAGTCTTAAATATTATTAATAATAATTCATAAAAGTACTCTAAACAGCACCACCATTAAAAAAGCATCTGTAAGCACCATGTGACCTAGCCCACAACAACCAACTAGAAGCTAGGGAGCCATGACATTTCTCTCCCTAAATTATCTTGCCTTTAGACATACAATGCTCTACATGGTATTTTCTTGGTTAGCAAGAGTATTTCAACATCTTTGAACTTGAATGGTGTCCAAACATCTGAGGCAGAGTACCTGATATAAATGCTAGTTGTTTCTTAAGCGAGAATGCTGGTGAGAAAGACAGAGCTGAAGCTGAAACTTTTTCTCATTTATTTGTACACGTGAATCAGGGATGGTGCAGCACCCAATCAAGCACTTTGACACAAGGAAATCTAAGTTACTTTTGCAGCATTACTACTTTCTCCATTTCTGCTCTTCAGAAGCAACGTTACTGCACAGACAACTGCCAATACAATCATGCTTGTCTGTCTTTTTCAGTCTAAGGATAGAAAACCCAAGCATTAAAAAAACCCCCACCAACTTGAAGTGTGGCAAGGTATTGTTTCAAAATCCATGAATCCAGAATGCTGAGTCTTAGTTTTGGGGGCTGGGCGGTGGAGTTGGGGAAAAGGCAGGATTATTTTTTTTTTTTCCTCAAAGGATGGTTCACCAACAAAACAAATAGCATAGTGGGTTTTTTTCAATTCTGACAGCCTGAAAAGATACTGCAAACTATGTATTTTCTTTCTACTCTTAAGCAAGAAAAATGGGAGGATCTCATGAGTGCATGGGGTATGTTCTCATGCTGGCTATCGTCCCAACGCTGTTAGTCATTTGGTGAACCAGAAAGAAAGAGAGAAGCACAGCATGGCACAGAACAAGCTTATGCTGCCAGTAATTCAGAGGGGCTTTCTGGCCATTTATCTCTACTTCTAAAGTTCATTGTTTTCCACTGTTTTCCTCTCTCATTTGATTTGCCTTTCATTTATCTGATGTCAGAGCCTCTGGAGATGAAAGGGCACTGCTATCCCAGAGAGTGACAAAGCAGCAAGAACTCAAAAACCTGACAGACCATGCCCCACTGTCTCATACAACATGCCTTGGGGATGTTTACCTTGAGGCTTAACAGACCTGAGCAGGGATGCTAGAACGGCATCTTTAAAGATAATTTTAACACTTATTAGGAAAAAAAAATAATCTAAAGGACACTCTAAACGATGTACGCGTTGGGAGGTGCCACAGTTACTGCTCAAGTAAAGTTTTACATAATAATCAAACCTCTAATAAAACCCAACAACCCCCACTGTACCACTGGCAATAGCTGGATAATTCCTGCAATCTAAAAATATAAAATAGACCTAGCGTGCTACAAATATGTCTTAAGTATTAATACATAAAACCAAGTTGCTTTAACATAATAAAGAGCATAAACACACAGCCCATCAAGTATAAAATTAATAGACGGTTTAGGCCCAACAAGAAAACCAGAGAGAGTGTGCCGACAGCACAGTAAAAGAACTTGTGTGGTAAAAATAAAAAAAGTCATTCAAGATGCATAAATTATTTTAGAAAGATTTTGTCAAAAAAGTGACAGGCATTAAGAGATAATACAGGTAATTACAAAAACAATCTTTTAACAACACAAAGTGGAGCAGAAGAGTCAAACAATATAATGCAGGACCTGAATTCCCATAACAAATTGTGGTGTAAGCACAGTATAAAATTCAGTTTATGAAGGCTTTAGTAATCTTTTTTACTGACATAAAACGATTACTTATTTTTTAAAAAATCAAATAATTATAAAACTTAAAAGAGAGTCAACATTTCCAAGCCAGAAAAATATTTCTTAATTCTAGCAATTTAATCTTCAGGCAGTGTGTAAGTAGCAAATTTTTAAAATCCAACACTATTTTAGATTTTATTAACACTGAAACAAAGCTTTTTAACTGGAATTTTGACAGTTGTATTTGTCATCCTCTTTGTTCCAATGATCTCACTCCATCTGTCCAGCTGGATCAAGGTGAGAAAAGGGATAAAGTCCAGCACAGCACTTTGTTTACACAACCATGGTAGAACAAAGTCTCAATACAAACACAGAAAAATTTGCCTCCCTTTTGTCTGCCGTTATTAAGGGCTCCTAAACTGAGGTTTTGTTATGTACCACTAACAGTAACAGTTTATGACAATGAACCCAGAAGAGGGACTATACAAGACAACTGGGGGAAACACTACTAACATCCTATTCAGGCAGGAATTAGCACTCTCCTCACCTTTGATGCTTGTCGAAGCCATCGCAAATATTCAGTGAAGTTATCAAAACAAATGTAGTAGGTCTGGCTTTGAGGTCCAGAGGAGCTAAATGCTAAACAGTGCTGGTGCTTTTTCACTTCTTCCACCTACAGTGAAGACAAAAAACTGTTAGCGAACTAGAACTCCCCAGGGCAAAGTTAAAAGTGTGCCCAAGAGAAGCACTTCAAGTAGAGTTGGTCTAACCCTCTCAAGCACTCAAGATGCATCTTGGCTGTCAAATATTCACGGAATCTACACAAGCAAGGAAAAAGACCAGAAGGACAAAGGAATCAAATGAGAAAACCATCAAGAATGCCAGTATTTTAAGAGAGACCATAAAAGGCTTCCCAATGAAACACGTTTAAGGCTGTCTTTATACAACCTAAAGAAGTACAATTTATACTCCTGGTTATTAAAAGCAAGCTTAACAAAATGCTTCTCTTACAGCCCAATTAAATTCTTTGGCATTTCTCAACTTGCTAAAAAACACCCAGAATACATCATTCTGCTACCATACACGTTAAGTCCCACACAACTTATGGTCTCAGTGTATCAGCACTGCATTCTGGAAAGCCTTTGCAAACCAGGAAGTGAGGAGTATTTATGGGGTTGAGGAAGGATATTTTTTGAGCGATAATATAAAAAACACTTAGTTCTGTGCCAAGCATCCTCCTCCCAAGCTTTGTCAGCAGAAGCTCTCAGTACTTTTTTCTCAGCTTAGTTCTCCTCTTCTTTTAAAATTGGTTGTCAACTTTCTGTTTAACGAAGTCAGCATATTTTACATTACACAAGGTATTTTTGTGCAAAAACAACTTAGAAATTACATATTAAGCAATTAAAGAAAAAAGAAAAAGCGTATACAATCTCTTCTCTTTTTAAATAATTAAAAAACCCAACACCTTATTTGTCTCAGAGAAGGTGAATGGACACTTGAATCCTGTCCTCTCCAGTGTGTTACAGACAGGAATAAAATTCACTGTCAGAGTTCAACCACTGCTGCTAAAGGGAAAATGTCTCTAACTTCAGTACCTCCAGGGAAGAGATGAAGAATCACATGAAGAATTACAAAAGGAGATAGGAAAAACAGCTCCTAGACTATTAATGAATCAACTTTAGTCTGCATATATAACTTTGTGAAGCTTGTTTCTCTCCCAATGACTCTTTAGAATCAAATTTATCAGTATGCAAGGTAAAAGAACATTATTTCAGCTATAAATTCATTCTCAACCTAATGATTCTCCTCCCATTATCTTGGCTAATCAAGCCAATAATAGTACTCTGAAACACTATTTAGGCCAAATTAGTAATGTTTTAATCTTATAACCTTCACTAAAATTTCACAGATTCACAGAGGTGGGAAGGGGACCTCTGGAGTCACGTGGTTCAAACCTCCCAGCTCAAGCAGGACCATCTACGTCTAGTAGCTCAGGACTATGTCAAGATGAATCTCAAATTATCTCCAAGGAAGAAGACTTCACAACCTCTCTGGGCAACCTGTGCCAGTGCTCAGTCACCCTCCCCACGAAAAAAATTATCCTTGTGTTCAAACTGGGCCTCTTGTGTTTCAAGATGTAACAAATAGGAAAAAAAGTCCAGTTTCAGCTCTTTAAAAGTAAATATGGTTGTTGTTGTTAGCTTATGTTAGACCACTTATAAAAAGCTGAATACTCAAAAAAAGTCCCATGTTGAAAGTAAACACATGCCCTTATTGGTTAGTTTTCAGATCTTAGAGTAATCTAACATGGGTAAAAGCTGGACAAAGAGGCCTGGTACAGATCATACACAACACAGCTGCATTGTAACCTTTGGTTGTATGCTATTGCATATTTGAAACATTTAACATTGTACATATGAAAAGGAAACTGAATGTGTTACCCTTGCTTTGCTTTCCTTACTCCAAATGTTGTTAAGTATGACTCTGACCATCATCAAAAGTAATTTACATACTTTGATAACCCCATTTACAGAAAGAAGCTTTTGAGAGGCTAGGAACCATCATAATTTAATGTAATCTTCTCTGGCTAAAAAGACAGAGATTAAGGCAATCAACTGTATAAAATAAAATCTCTTACTTTTCCACCGATTAAAGGGAGAACATGCATCTTTCCAGTCTGGCTTTCTTTTACTGATGAAACAATTAGGCATGTTCCACAAAGGATAGCTTGGCGTCTTGTCCATCTGTTGACTGGCAAATGTATTTTCCCTTTTCGAACATTGTACATTCCTGAGAGCTGAATCCGTTCGGAGCTGCCAGTGCTGTGGGGTTTTCCTGAAATAGAAACAAAAGCATCCACTTAATTATGGAAAATCTTTGCCTCTTTCACTCAAGTCAACCTGAGACTTCATGAGCAAGTTTCCAAGCTACAGACCACAGTGTGACAAATGAAACAACTTGCAAACCAAGCAAACAGGTAATTTGGTGTCAGCTTACTACAGGTTTCTTTCACAGGTAGAGGGATATGACCAGTTGGTATCATGGAGAGCAGACCATGGTCTTGCAACACACTTAGTGACCTGCAATAGTCACAGAAGTACCAAATAATGGTACCAGTCTTCTTTCTCTACAGGACCTGGACATTAAATGTTCATCCCAGTTGATTTCACATTGACTGCTTGGTAACTGCAAAAGGGGTGATGTACTGCATGCTGACCTGCACCTTTATGCTTCCATGTCTCTTCTAGGCACCCTTAAGATCATGGTTTGAACATCTTTAATAGTTTCTCCAACAACACAGCTGGTACTCTTTCCAGCCCACCCTGTTCAGTGCGAACTCAACAGTGGAGGTAGTACATTCAGTCACAATGTAAGCAGATGCAACCCAGATGAAATCCCTCAAAGGCCCTGCTTAAATGTGAGTAGAGCTTTGGAAAGA